CCCTTGGGAAGAAGGATAGTGTTAGTGTTGTTCTTCATCGTGGTCCTCGGTCCCTTACTTTTAAAGGCAGTCTTTTTAAAGGCATTCATAGATTCATCGTCATTTACATACTCAGACTCATGGGCTGACAAAGAGAAAGATGCCCCGCAGTCTTGCTCTTGATCGTCATCAAGAGAAGATTCATCCACGAGGGTCTCATCGTCGGCCTCAAGCAGATCATGTGCTGCAAAACGGTTGCTGCCTGGAAACCGTTTGCGGCTGGTGGCCCTTTTGCCACTTGATCCACCCATATCGAATTGTACAGATCGTTAAGAACATTTGAGAACATTTGAGATCATTTGAGCTACCGGGGCCATTACCCGACTTCGACTGAGATCAGTCTCTGAATATCTAGTGACCTATTAAGGAACTACTCATGCAGTAGGCTGCCACAGAGGTCCTACGAATGCTCACAACCCTCAGAATTCCTAACAAGCCCTTCTAAGACCTTCCAACACAGTCTTACTCCCTGCTGAGCTCTTCCAGGCCTCACGCCCCCACCCTGCTGGGTTACAGGGCAGCACAACTCGCCCCAGCTCCGACCACCGTCGTCCCAGCAGCAAACCTTGGCTGTCCCACGTCAGCAGTGCCACGTCACAGTGCCAGATCAGCAGTGCCACGTCACAGTGCCAGGTCACAGTGCCACGTCAGCAGTGCCACGTCACAGTGCCAGATCAGCAGTGCCACGTCAGCAGTGCCAGGTCACAATGCCACGTCAGACTCAGTGCCACGTCAGCAGTGACGTCAGATACAGTGCCACGTAAGCAGTGCCACATCAGCAGTGCCACGTCAGACACAGTGCCACGTAAGCAGTGCCACATCAGACATAGGTTAACCCATCAACCACATTGACCCGATGACTGCATGAGATTGATGTGTATGATTTTGAACTCAAACACAAGAAAGGCTGCTATAATCGTGTTGCGGATGCTTTGTCTCGCCACCCCGAGTATATGACTTGCCTTGTGGGTTCCTACGACATGCGTAAAGATCTGAAGGAGGAACTCATCGAGCATACTGCCAAGGACCCGGAACTCAGTCCCATCCTTGAGCAGATTCGGGCTGACCCTAGCAGTCAGCCTGATTTCCATGAATGTAAGGGCCTTCTCTTCCGACGTTATGGGAAGCATGACCGATTGTGTGTGCCCAACCATGAGCCGATCATGACTTACTTCTTGGACTTGGCTCATGGCCGGAGTGGATACTTCGGAAGATATACAAAAATCTGTTGGAAAAGTTTGTGTGCCCTGGAATGAAAAGAATGACGCAAAGGTTTGTGGCTAAATGTGAAGTTTGTTAACGCATCAAACCGTCTCGAAAGAAGCCCTATGGGCTGCTGCACCCTCTTCCTATCCCTGATGGCCCGGGTGAGTCTGTTTCCATTGACTTCACAAACATGGGGAAGAAAAGCAGAAACGGTTATTCACAAGTAATGGTGATCGTCGATCGTTTTTCCAAGTTTCTGAATCTAATCCCATTACCACCTCACACCCCAACTGACCTTGTGATCGAAAAATTTAACAAAAGGTACATTCTGCAGTGCGGGCCCCCGAAGACCCTTGTGAGCGATCGCGATACCAGGTTCATAAGTGCAGATTGGAAAGACTTCACCTCCCAGACCTACGACATGAAACTCAAGATGACGTCTGGTCGACACCCCGAAGCCAATGGACTGGCCGAGGAGATCAACCAGACCGTGATCCAACTTCTCAGGGCTCTTATCGTGCCTGACCAGAACTCTTGGGATGAGGAGTTGCCGATTGTGCAGAGGTTGTACAACAACTCCATCCACTCTTCCACCGGGATGACGCCTAACCGGCTGCACCTCGGATGGAAAATCCGCAATCCCCTATCCTATCTGTTCCCGGAACAGCCACCTGGCCTAACACCTGGCCAGCCAGGCTACAGTGCTAAGTACGATCGTTTGCTCAAAGTCGCTATCGCGGCTATGGAGAGGCGACGCAGTGCTATGATTAAGCATGCAAACAAGAAACGCCAGCCTGATCCCTTCACCGTGGGAAGTTATGTCTGGGTCAAGATGTCTGAGTTTTCTGAAGAAGAAGGCGTATCACGGAAACTTCTTCCTCAGTATTACGGTCCCTGGAAGGTGCTGAATCGAGTAGGTAATGATTCCTTCGGTCCTTCTTACACGATTGATGTGCCTGCTCATCTCCGCACATACCCAGTCTTTCACGCATCAAAGTTATTTTCGTATGAGCCACTTGAGACGTTAAAGTACCGAGAATCGATGATTCCCCTCGCAATCAATGGCGGTCACGAGGTTGATAGAATTGTTGAACACAGTGGGAAGGGAAGAAACAGACAACACGAAGTCCATTTTCTCTACCATCCATTGGATGATTTCTACTGGATTGCTAAGAAGGATTTACTGCAGAGTGCACCGCGCGTCGTTAACGCCTATGAACGATTAATAAGTTCTGAACAACAACCAAAATTCACTGCTACCCTGACTCCTACGGAACACACCCGATCTCTCTTTGCTATCTACGCCTATGATGCATTATGCAAGGACTCTGATTGAGTTACTCGCTCGAAGGGACCTCGCTCTTGAGGGGGGGGTAGTGTAATGACCCGTCAAAACACAGACTGAGAACACTGCTGATTTTTGAAGTTCTGCCGATGGAATGGATGCCTTGCTGAGATTCCCGCATTCTGCTGTGTTTCTAAGTCTGTCTGTTGGTGCGTGCTTGTGACCTGCATGCCTGTCTGAGTGCTTGTTGGTATGAGTGTGTGTGGGACCCGCAAGGGTACTTGCTTGTTCGGTAGGCCCGTAGGGCCGGTACTTACCTGTGGCCGTGGCATTGAGGGTTGTAGCAGGGAAAAACACTCAAGTGGCGAAGCTAGCGGCCCTGAGGCCCTTGGGTTAGCGGAAAAACACTCAAGTAGGCCGGTAGGCCGATACTGCACCCCACTGCAGTTGGCGTGAGGGGGTACTGGAGGCCGAGCAGAAAAAGACAAAGTTGGCATTTTTAGAGTCCAGTAGCGGTAGGGTAGGTCTAGGCCGGTACCAGTCCAACCAGTCTGAGTCTAGAGCCTGTACGGGTAATATCAGGGTCTGCAATGATGTTTCCCTCCGAAACGGAGGAGGTACCGGTTGCTTGGAGAGGCCGAGCGGCCTGGAAGTCACCGCCCAGGAGGCAAGTAGGCCGCTATATCAAGAGGCAGGGTGGAGAGCCCGGCCTCATTCTTCAGTGTGCGAGTTGGGCGTCACGCTGCTGGAGCGCTAGGTGGAGGAGCGCTGGGCACTACAGCGCTGCTGGGAGGAAGAAGCTGGGAGCTTCCACCTTGGCTATGGTGGAGCTCTACCGGTAGGAGGAGGAGGGAGAAGGGGACCAAGGAGCAGAGTGGCGAGGTACTTACCGGCTATGGTAGACACCATCTTCATCTCCTTGCTARGCGYTGCATCAGGAAGGCCCCAGTGGGGGTAGTGCCGCATCAAGGAAGCTCGGACAGAGTCAGGCATGGCGGTTGAGTGGGCAGCGGCATAGCTGCTGGGTGATGATCTTGGAGTAGGGCAGCGATGTAGCTGCTTTGGGTTGTCTCTTGTACAGGAGGCTGAAGCCTCCGAAGTCCGCCATAGCCTCGTCCTGTATGTGGAGGAAGAAGAAGGGCTGCCATGGCTATGGTGGACCTCATCTTGTGCCTGCAGTAGAAGTGGGATTCGGACATTGATTCTGGTTCAGCTGTTCAACATTATTATTGTTTATTTATTGTTTGAATAAGAGAGGAGGAGATAAAGAGGAGGAGGTTGTTGAGCGAAGAAGAAGAGCTTTGTCTTTGGTCTATGCTGGAGTACATCATCTCCTTCTTCTTTCTCGATTCTTCTTCTTCTTCTTTCCCTCTCTCTCCTCTCAAGTTCTTTCATTTCTTTTGCAATTGGACGACATTGGGCTCAAGTTCATTCATTTCTTTTCGCAATTGTACAACATTGTACTTTATGATGATTGTGGACTTCGAAATTGGCCAGGATCGTAACACACCGAACAAAATCAGAATGTCGTAGACATAAGTCACCAATGTCGGAGGTACAAAATTCTAATGTAATTTATGCCCGATCTGTGATGCCGCCAGGTATCACTCCCAACTATCTCCAATGTCTTGAATCCGGTAAGTACCACAGCCTACTACCACCAAAGTCCAACCACTGATCCCGGTCCAACTCGTATCAATCGTCTCCAGTCTGAAGAAGAAGAAGAAGAAGAAGAAGAAGAAGAAGAAGAAGAAGAAGAAGAAGAAGAAGAAGAAGAAGAAGTCTGAAGTCTGATGAGGAAGGAGAAGAAGAAGAAGATGTCTGAGGAAGAAGAAGAAGAAGTCTGAGGAAGAAGAAGAAGACCGAGAGGGGAGGCAGAGAGAGTCAGGGGAGATGGCGAGTAGCCTTAGGCCTAACCTGCGTCTGCAAGATGGTGCCTTGGCTGATGCGGGAGCTGGGCTGAGCCGCTGGGAGCTATGGCGCTCATGGTACTCTAGGTAAGTCTCCCTCGTCGCGTCCCTTTGCTGCAATGCGCTAAACTTAGCGCTGCAGCTCCAACCGCTGCGCTGAACCANAGCGCTGCAGCTCCAACCGCTGCGCTGAACCAGGAATAGCGCAGCTTGGTGCCTCCTGCCGTACTGCCTTCCAACCTGCTGGAAAGGCCGCTGGACCACCCTAAGTACCGTCCAGCGGCCAGTCGGCCTCAATGCTGCCCCAGCGCGCCGTGATCTGAATCGTCAAGATTGACGATTCAGATCAGACCAGTGGGCGACAGCCTCAAGAGCGTCGCCAGGCCCAATGGTAATGTTGTTTGGGCCTATACCTGGTCTGCTGCAGGAAAACTATCCAGTGGCCTCATGCGGCCTACCGGGAGAAAGGTCCGGCCTTTGGCTGGGCCGGCCTAAGTACCCCTTGGTCTAGTGGTCGGGTCCGAAAGGGACCCGTGTGGCATCAATATGTAACACACTCCCCCCCTTAAAAGACCGAGCTACCTGCGAGGGCGAAGTTGTCTGTCCGATACCTGGGTGGGTCGGGTGGGACAAACTTTGTCCTTGGCAAGTCGCCGGTTCTCATAGTCGGAGAAGATGAGTGGTGCGGATGCCTGTAAGTCTGCGCGGGAGATCCAGCACGTGTCATCAGGGGCACATTTCTTGAATGTGACTTGACATTGCATTGGCTTGTTGCCACACTTGCGATGCGTGATGACACGGTCAACTTCCTGATGTCCGTCCGTAGAGGGCGGATCCTATGATCGTCAGCCTGGGAACTCATCCTCGGAAGGTGGCGTATACACGGCCAACTTTGACGCATGGAAAACCAGGTGCACGCGGAGGTGCGGTGGGATGGCAATCACAAGGGCCAGCAGGGTCATCGCCTGCTGCAGAAATTACCTTCCATGGTCCAAACCATTTCCGGAGGAGTTTGCGCGAGACGTCTTGCTCCAACGCGAATTCCTCAGTGAGGACCCAAACAAGGTCTCCCTTGCGGAAAGGACATGGGAGTCAACGTCGGTTAGCTTGTTGTTGCATGCGGATTTGAGCCTTTTGCATGTTCGCGCGGACTTTGATCAGCAAGTCCCGGTACTTCCGAACGGAAGCGGGAGAGCAAGCGACGTCGATGTCGTCAGCCCATGGTAGCAGAAGATCAGCAAAAACTCGGGCTTTCTCTCCACCGTGATGCAACTCGAATGGAGTGACGCAGATCGCCTGGTGCACCGAAGTGTTATAGGCGAACTCGATGTTGGGAAGCTGGTCAACCCAATCTTTCTGGTCGGGACGGATGAGTGTACTTAACATCATTTGAGCGGTCTGATGCGCTCGTTCCGACTGCCCATCCGTCTACGGGTGTCGTGAGGAACTCGACTTCATAGTCGAACCGGACTCCGTCATGAGGGAAGTCCAAAAGGCTGACATGAAGCGAGTGTCTCTGTCGATCACAATGTCTTCCGAAACACCGTGGCAAGTAATCCAGCTGGTGTGCAAGAGTCGTGTGAGCTCGGGGGCTGTAGCACGGTACTTGCATGGAAGAAAACGAGCATAGTTGCTCAAACGGTCAACGACCGTGAGGATGTCGTCATGACCGAGGCGATCGGGGGGAAATGGGCTTGTAACATCCATAGCAATGGAGAGGCGCGGTGCCCGAGGGATTGGCATCGTTTTCAGTTCGCCATAAGGGACATGAGATCTACCTTCGTTACGATGGCAAACTGCACATGACTCAATGTACCTTGTGACGTCGTGAGGCGGGCCAATGTACGGGTCACGCCGAGGTGTACCGAAAGTCGTGCGTCGTGGAATTCACCAAGGAGGCGAGTCCGTAAGATGCGATCTTGGGGCACCACTAGCAAGTCCTTCCTCTCGTGTGGAGGAGTAAGAACCCGCCGGAGATACGATAGTGACCAGCCGGCGGGTGATCCAACGAAAGCTCCGCGTAGAGCGTGGAGTATCTCGGGTCGGACTCGTAGCCGTTGACGAAGTGCTGCTGCAGATCGTCGTCGAGCTGGAACGTCGTAGTCACTAGGGCACAAAAATCGGGCCGTTGTGCGCTGCTCGGTTGGCGGGACCGGGAATGTGGCATGGGTCAAAGTCAAACTGGAGGGCCGGTGCGTCTTGCATCGCTGCCTTCAACGTATTGAACGCGCCACGAGCTGCGTCGTCGAACTCAAAGGGCACCTTCGAGGACTGAAGAATGACAAAGGGGCTGCCACTTTGGAGTAAGACTCGACGAAGCGCTGATAGTATCCAGCCCAACCCATGAAAGAGCGTCCGTCCGTCATGCAATGGGGTTCCAACCAATCGTATGGCGAGCATCTAGGGCGAATCCAGCCTTTGTCGAGAAGGTCGTCCAGTTGTGCGCGAAGCACCTCGAGTTCTTCTTCGCTCATGCGGTAAATGCATCCACGCGGAGGGATGGCCCCCGCCTCGAGAGTAATCTCGTGCCGTATGGGCCGATCCGGAACCGTTCCGGTGGGAGCCTCGAAGACGTCTCCATATCCATCTAAGAGGTAATGCGTGGGTCTGGCGGTGACGCGGCTGGTCCGTCCGTCGAGGGGAGGGCACGTAGGAAAACAACGCCCATTTCCTCTACGTCATTCCGGGTTATGGCGTCGCGAATCCTCGCGACGGAAACCACGTGACAAACAATTTAGTGTGAGGAGTCGCGACCGTACATGGGACTAACACTCCGTTCCGATCACGGGTGTGAACGGTTCGGTCATGAAAGTTAACCGGATGGATGGCGCTACGCAACCAAGACATGCCTGAAATCATGTCGAACTTGGTGTCGAGGATGTCGAAAGACACCGGCTCGCACGCAAGGGGCGCAAAGTACACCGAAACACCGTCGACGCATCGGTCAATTGACTTTTGCGTGCGACCATCCGCAAGTGTGACTTGCGTAGGTTGCGTCTTCCTCCGAACGCGGGGGCCGAGGCCTGCGCGTGCCATAAAGGCTTGGCTCATAAAGTTGCGAGACGCTCCACAATCAATCAAGGCACTGCAGGTGCCCTTTCCGATTTGAATGTGGATATAGAGCAAAGGAGCGTCGGTCTCAACGTACCTTTGGGTGGCGTACTCGTGGTCAATCTTCGCAAGATAGGAGCGGAGATCGGCAACCGCTACTCCGTCGTCCATCAGCAGAGCTGGTACTGCAGCGTGCAAGTAGGAGCGTAGATTTGCCATCAAGGCGTTACAATGCGGCTTTGGCAAGGATCCGGTTGAGGGTAGAGGCATCCAAGAGAAGTCCTCTCTCGTGAGCGGGTCGAGGTCCTCACGCCTTGACCACGCCGTCGAGTCCTCGGAAATAAGTGGCGAACTAACCGGTTCTCTTGCTGACGGTGTACAAGCTACGCGTACGCTATCTAGGTGCACGTGGCTAGGCTGGTCCAATGGTGGCACCAGCTGGGCAGCGTAATCCTTGTATGTATCACGAGAATCAGCGACGAACGCATGCTCCCCAACAGCGATATCGGTTGCTAGCAAGGCAACCGGTTCCCACGGAGTGTGGAGAGGCGTTGCCCCTCTCCGTGCACAACTCAGTTTTCCGAGTTAGCTGGACGGGGTACCTTTGCCTTGCCCTTGTCCGGGCACTGTGCCGTAGTGTGGTTTACACTGTTGCATCAAAAACAATACCCATACCATTGTCGAAGTTCGAAAACTTCCTTGGTGATGTTGTATACCGTCCATGGTTGCTGCCCAGTCTCCGTCGCTGTCGTCCCTTGTGTCGCCTTGTTCTTCCGAACCCTTTTTGGACACTTCGGCGAAATCGCTGCGACAACTCCTCCATCACTCGAGGAGGCTGCTGCAGCGTGGAGATCAGGTGATCCGTCAGCGATCACCGCATTGTTATGCGCCGGCCGTTGGTAGCCTTGCTTAGCCACATATTGCGGCTCGGACTGCCTTTCGTTGGCGGCCTTGTCATCCGTTTGGATGACCAGGTTAGCACGGTCAGGGATGCTTGGAACGAGGCATAGTTGTACTCGTTACCGAGTGCCGACCGCAATCCTGCGCACGATTGCGAAAATAATTCGGATCGCAGGTTTGGGAAACTTGAGTCGAACCTTGGAGTGGTTACTATGCCACTTGATCATCCAGTCTCGTGTTGACATGTTCCCTTGCGAGCTGGAGTAGACCTCGTTCATGGCCGCCTTAACTACATTCCGAACCATGAAACGAGTGTGACACATTTGCTTGAGCTGCTCCCACGTGATGTGCGTGTGCAGGTTGGCAATGGTGGTTCCCAGATTGGTCGCTAGATGGTTCATGAATGCCTGTGCTCCTCCAATAGGTTGGAGGTAGAGTGCTGTCATCATCAGGTAATCTGGTACGTGGTGGCAGGCTGCTTCAGGGATGAAGGAATGCCACCATGCCAAAGCGTCTGTTTTGTTGTAATCATCAAACTTCCCGATGTTGAAGCGTGGCATCTTGTATGTCTTCGCGGCGGCTTCCGGTCGTGACTACAGTTTGGTGATGTCCGTCTTGATGGCGGCCACCGTGCTGCTGATCGATGCTGGACTGGTAAAGTCACCCAAGTCGCCGATGATGGTGACGACATGGTCGATGCGCTCGCCGAGCTGCTTCGCTATGTCTGTTGTGCAGCCTGGCGCTGCTGAGGGCTTAGCCTCGATGCTGTTGACGCGTGTGATAGTGGATGCCAACAGTTGTTGCTGATGTTGTGTTGCTGCGCGGATGGTGGCTGTCCAAGTTGCAGATTCTCTCTGCTGAGTCTGTCTCAGCTGCCGTCCAGTTTGAGCATGTGCAATCTGCATCGTATTGTTCCACATTACTGCCCTCATCATACCCAACATCAAGTTAGCCAGGTTACTCCTTTCTGCCTCCGCCGGTGTCGAATCCGCCTGCTCGTCCGTAGGCACAAAGATCATGCCTTGGAGTAGTGCTGTCCACTGACTCTCATTCTGAATCAGAGACTCAGTGCTGGCGGCATTCCGCCTATCTCGAGCCGTTGCGTCAGCCTCAGCAGTCCACTGAGCTTGGGATGCCGCCGCTTGGGCAAGCCGCTGACGTTCTGCTTCTGCTGCCTCTTGCTGTGCCTTTGCTGTGGCGACGGCATCCATGAATGCCTGCACCCGCTGAAGGTAAGCTGCCAAAGTCTCGTGGTCCCCTTGGACCGGATGGGCGGGAAGGACCCCTGTGGTGACCGGTACTGCAGCTGCTGCATTGGTACTGGATGCCGCTGGCGCCGTTCGCCTGCTGCGTCATTGTTGCTGATATTTAGGCCGTGGAGGTATCACAGTGTGGCTACGAACTGCGAGCCTGGCACTACGTCGTGGCAGTGCCCCGGTGTCCTGTTCCGTCTACATCAGCGTGGGCTGATGTGGTACTTAGAACTCTCGGTGTTCACAGGCACGGGAAGGGCAGGGAGGGTGGGAACAGGGGTAGAACAGAACAAACAATCCACATACAGTCCCCTGTCCCAATGTGGACTGGACTCCTAATCAAAGAGGAAAAAGATGATCTTTCCCCCCCCCGAACAATTTAATTTCGAAGATAATAAATAATTAATAAAGAATAATGAATAATAATTAATCATCAATCAATAAAAGTTAATAATTATTAATAACGAATTTTAATTGTCGGTAGATTAGGTGTCCGTTGGGATCACCTATGGCCCGGGAATTCACCGTTGTTAGTGAAGTTCCCGGAAGTCGCAGTTCTGAGGTAAACGATTCCAAACAGTCTGCCAAACGAAAAAAATAATTTTGGACAACTAGGAAAACGAAAAACACTCGAATTTTTGAAAAAACGTGAAATTTCGGGAATTTCAACCTAACAGAGTCCGATTTTCAGAAGGCCGATGTCCGCATTTGGAAATTCAACAATTAGGGAAAAGGAAAAAAAATTGCGAAAATTTCGGACCTCAACCCTAATTTTCCGCGATTTCGCGGAATTTCCGGTTTACGGTTCCAGAAATGCGAATCTTCCCACAATGCGGAAAACCGAAAACTTTTATCGCAACCCTAATTCTATACCGAATTAAAACAGAATACCGAATTAAAAAAAAATTAGAATTTTACAACTTGAATTTCGATAGTAATGCAGAACTAATTCGGAAAAAGGCACTGCTAATTGAGCAATCGATTCCCTAATCAGAATTACCTTGTGAGCAGATCCACTTAATTGGTCTGCTCCAATACCAAACTGTTGCATACTAGTGAATACTAGGATGAGCATGTATACAGCGGAAGTCTGAGAAATGGACTGACTCACATTGACTGGACTTACCCGAACATCACTCAACACAAGCAATCGTGAGATGGTGGGGTCTGAAGCCATACATAGACGATGCTTCAGGCCCCGTACAACCATACACAGATGAATGGTGGGAGGAGAGACKATGGAGGTGGGAGATATGGGCAGCGCCAGATGTCACSGMGATAGAATCCAGAAAGTCACCGATATGGTAGCCCAAAATGTCACCGAACAAAATCAGAATGTCGTAGACATAAGTCACCAATGTCGGAGGTACAGAATCCTAATGTAACCGATGCCCGATCTGTGATGCCRCCAGGTATCACTCCCAACTATCTCCAATGTCTCGAATCCGGTAAGTATCGCAGCCTCCTACCACCGAAGTCCAACCACTGATCCCTGTCCAACTCGTATCAATCGTCTCCAGTCTGAAGAAGAAGAAGAAGAAGAAGAAGAAGAAGAAGAAGAAGTCTGAAGTCTGAAGAGGAAGGAGAAGAAGATGTCCGAGGAAGAAGAAGAAGAAGAAGTCTGAGGAAGAAGAAGAAGACTGAGAGGGGAGGCAGAGAGTCAGGGGAGATGGCGAGTAGCCTCAGGCCTCACCTGCGTCTGCAAGATGGCGCCTTGGCTGATGCGGGAGCTGGGCTGAACCGCTGGGAGCTATGGCGCTCACGGTACTCTAGGTAAGTCCCCCTCCTCGCGTCCCTTTGCTGCAGTGCGCTAAACTTAGCGCTGCAGCTCCAACCGCTGCGCTGAACCAGGAATAGCGCAGCTTGGTGCCTCCTGCCGTACTGCCTTCCAACCTGCTGGANAGCGCTGCAGCTCCAACCGCTGCGCTGAACCAGGAATAGCGCAGCTTGGTGCCTCCTGCCGTACTGCCTTCCAACCTGCTGGAAAGGCCGCTGGATCGGCCTAAGTACCGTCCGGCGGCCGGTCGGCCTCAATGCTGCCCCACCGCGCCGTGATCTGAATCGTCAAGATTGACGATTCAGATCAGACCAGTGGGCGGCAGCCTCAAGAGCGCCGCCAGGCCCAACGGTAATGCCGTTTGGGCCTATACCTGGTCTGCTGCAGGAAAACCATCCAGTGGCCTCATGCGGCCTACCGGGAGAAAGGTCCAGCCTTTGGCTGGGCCGGCCTAAGTACCCCTTGGTCTAGTGGTCGGGTCCGAAAGGGACCCGTGTGGCATCAGTATGTAACAGTACCTATCCCCTCAGGGTTGAACCTTCCCGGTTGAGCCTACCCCTTCAGGGTTGAATCTAACCCCTAGCATGGGTGAAAAGCGGCCAACCTTTCCCCTACCAAGTCCAAGGGGGGGGGGAATCGTCTATCTCAGGTGGCAAGCCCAAAGTGTGCTGCAGGAGGCAACCCACGACCTCCTGAATACCACTTGCGTGCTCTAAACCCTAAACCTTTATTATTTTTTAAAATAAAATGCAATAACTAACTCAAATCAAGAATCAGTCGTGGGCTGTGGGTCGTCATTTTGGTCAAAGGGCCGAGATAGGGGTCAAAGGCCATGCCCAAGTCATGTAAACTGCCTGAACGAAGGCCTGCTGCTGTGGGGTACCCGAAGCAAGGCCTAAAACTGGCCTTCATAGACCCAACGAGCGACAGTTGACAGTGGAAAGTCAAAGGTCAACAGCAGCTCGGAAATTCAGGCCCACGAGTCGAAGTCAACATCGACCTAGTCCAGGCCGCTGATCAGACACACACCTTTGGCTGTTTGCAGGTATCTGTAAGGAATCCAGTCGTAGGAATCTGCAACTGTATGGGATCCAGGCCATTGGCTGCGAGACAATCTGGGCCATCATATCTGAGGGCCCAAAAGCTGGTCAACCACAGTCAACACTATAAGTTGACCCAGCCCCTGCTGACCGACATTCAGTCTTGCACATGCTGCTTGACGCTGGCTGGACGCTGGCTTAACGCTGGCTGGACGCTAGCTTGATGGGACGACACAGGATTGCTAATGCAGTGTGCTGGCGCCATTCTGTATCTTCGGCTCCAGCTGGATACTTGACTATGCTGACGTGGCTCTCGCCACACTGATTATGACATTGATAGGGTACTGGCTAAGAAGACAAGGATCAGGGCTGTGAGATTGATCAATGTGAAGAAAGCTTACCTGTTTGCGTTCGTGGTCGACATTGCGCACTGCTGTCCGTCTTCATAAGGTGTCTGCACTGACAAGCGCCATGATGAGATACACTCACTCTCCGAGTGTGTCAGAGGGGACTGTCTGCTGATGTGGCGAGAGGGAGACGCCCGAGAGGAAGTGGGATTGTGAGGGAGATCTATCTGCTATGTTGATGGGTACTTTCTCTTCCACCTTCTTAGTCTTATCTCCCTTCCACCGTCCTCTTCTCTGATGACCAGATATTGGGCTACCTGACTATATGTACGATTTTAGAGACATTGAAACTGAGCTGAGACATTCTGTCTTCCGACTTTGACGAGCTTCTTTTCAGATTGGGTTCATTGCAATTTGGTATCAGAGCAGATATCCTCCAATCCGGTACTATCTGCTGGTGCGCGTGGTCCCGCGCGGCGGTATTGCAACCGCGCGCTCCACGCACCTTGATATATACGTCTCTTTCTCACTCGCACGTATCTGATGATGATCATGATAACAACGCCGATGACGTGGACTCGATGGCAGTTGGCGAGTGCTTGCTGGTGTGGTGCTGGGCCACTGGCAAGAGAGAGAGAGAGAGAGAGAGAGAGAGAGAGAGAGAGAGAGAGAGAGAGAGAGAGAGAGAGAGAGAGAGAGAGAGAGAGAGAGAGAGAGAGAGANAGCAGAGAGAGAGAGAGAGAGAGAGAGAGAGAGAGAGAGAGAGAGAGAGAGAGAGAGAGAGAGAGAGAGAGAGAGAGAGAGCTGTGACATGACTTCGTGAGATCCATGCGCGCTTGCTGACGTGGCATGGCATGCTGTTGCTGACGTAGCACCTGACGAGGAAGCAGTGGGTTACATTGTCTGATGTGGCACTTACCGAAGTGTCGTGACTTACCTGCTGACGTTGCACCTCTGAAGCAGCAGCAGCACATCAGGTTGATGCGGCTGAATGAAGATGATCCAGTGATCGCATACAGATTGGACAGACGGTGCTCACGTGGATGCTACACATCTCCACCCTTGATGGTCTCACTCGTCACTGATGCTGACGTGGCATTTCCTCCGACGATCTGCCACAGGCTTGATTGGAGTGTGACACGCTGACGTGCGCTGCCATCCGCTGAAGATTGGTGGGAACAGATACTTGCACTTGTGTGGTCTGACAGGCGGTACAGCACAAGACTATGCTGTAGTGCCAAGAGTCAGAACTTGTGCCTGGACACACGGGCGCATGTGAGGAAGACAGCGAAGGGGAAGATCAGCTGACACATTGTTGATTGATGGTGTTGCTGATTGATTGATGAGACTTACCTGTTGTGGCTGTCGCATGCCAGGGTGGCGCAGACCAGAACCAAGAACCGGCCTCTCACAGATGGAGTAAGGATAGCACAACGAAAGACTGAAATACCAATAATCAGACCCAATCCGACTTCTCACACATGGAGTAAGGATAGCACAGCGGAAGACTAAAATACCAATAATCAGACCCAATCAATGTCGTGACACAGACTGAGCATCATCATCATCATCATCATCACACAGTGTGAGGGGGGACCTGGCGCTAACACAGAGACGAAGTGGCAGGCACCAACTTACATGGATGAGGAGGGAGGAGAGACGAAGAGGGGGGAAGAAAGGGGAGATGTCGCCAACCCAAAGTGTTGTCGATGCCGATCCCAAAACAGTCCCCCCACAATGTCGCTGCTCATATGTCAAGTCTGAATCTCAATGTCGCAAATCTCTCTCTCTCTCTCTCTCTCTCTCTCTCTCTCTCTCTCTCTCTCTCTCTCTCTCTCTCTCTCT